CTGCAGTAAACGTAAATACTTTCTTTGCAAAAGGAAATTACTGCAAGATATACAATTAGAAATACTCTGGAAAACCAGAAAAAATAAAAAAATTGAATTTGTCGATGTAGAGCTAACTGTGTTAAGAGTTTTGGAAAATTGTTAAAAGTATTGAAAAATCTGTCATGGCAATTGTAAAAAAACTGTACATTTATAGAAGTGCTGTGCTTGTGAAATGGTAGAAGTCTGAGAACAACCCCTGACCCTTTGCTACGGCAAACAGTAAAAGCTGAGGGCTGTGTTCTGCACACAATATCCCAACAAAAAAAAAGATACCACTAAATGCAATGCATCGGTATCATTGATGGTTAAATCGCCTCGCAGTACAATGCTGCCACCACCATGCTTTTGACAGTAGAAATAGTGTTCAGACGTTAATGTTGGTCTCCTCTGGCCTTAGAATGTGATGAACAAGGACATTTAGCTCGACAAAGCAGGGAAATCCATTCTGCACTTAATGGAAAATTATGGAGTGAATTTTGTTCCATTATTGTTGCGAGCAAAACATGTTTATTTACTGAAATTAAAAAAACAAACAAACCAAACAAAATTAAACAAAATCCAGAAATTAAACTTTTTTTCAAGTCTGTCTTTAAAGATTTTATATTTTCTTTTTCTTTTCAGATTGAGTTTTATGGATTTCATTCTTTTGAGAATGCATTTTAAAGATCACATTCTCTTCACTTCAAGCCCAACACAAAACCAACGTGCATGCAGACTGCTAGAAATACTTATTCCAGATGAAATCCTGCTCCCAGAAGTTAAGGGGAAAAAGTATCATTTGAAATTGAAAAAGAAAATCCAAACAAAAGTCTTACAAAATAAGCAAAGTTACATTCAGACCTATTTTTGCTTATCAGTTATATTTCTAATTGATTTTTTTTTTATTTCTGTGTACAAATCATGTTTTTTGTTTGCAACAATAACAAAACATAATTAATTTAATTTATAATCGGCTTCATCGTGGCATGACGACACAGTTTACAGCAGTTTCCAATTCATGGTAAGATCAAATAATAAAAGAAAAGCCCAAACTAAATTGGAAAAGCATGCTAATGTTGAGTTGCTACAAAACTCTGACTTTAACTATTAGAAGTTAAATCTTCTCCAGTAGAACATCGTAAATTACGGTGACCAGACGTACACAGGGACAGTCCCCGTTTTGGACCACCTGTCCACAGCCCAGGTTAATAAAAATAGGGGTTTTTATGTGTTTGTTCTACTAAAGATGAGGATCGGAAATATAACATAAACCAAGCTAATCAACAAAAACTAAGACAGACCATTGGCTGCAACTGGAATGAGGAAATAGGATCAGATTAAATTAAACAGGATGATTGAAAACAATTGGTTTGGTGATTCTCCAGGGATTAACAAGGGTTCATCTAAAGATGTTTAGACATAGAATGGATTGGTGACCTTTAGTTTATATCATCAGATAGTTATTGTAAGTAGAGTTATAAGATGTTTTGCTGTTTAATTCAATTTATTTCTATAGAGCCAATTTACAAAATGTCATCTCAAGGCACTTTACAGTTCAGCAGATCATACAGTCAGATTGGTTCAAAAAACCAGTTAATTGGATCGACTCATTGACTCGATTGCAACCCCTCACACTAAGCATG